GTGCGGAAAACCAGCCCTAGGAAAATCCCGTCGGGGTTCCTCTCTCGTTCCCACTCGCCACGCCTCTCCGCCGTTCCCGCGAGCGCCGTTCCACCCGCCCAATCCTCCGCCATTCCTTCGAAATCCCTCCTCTCCAGTCGCGCCCCATCCGTCACCTTTGTACCCATAGGTTTCCCCCCTCTGATTCCTCTCCGGTACTTCTCGCTCTCCGTCGTACCTCGGAATCTCCTCCCTCGCGACCTCCCGACCTAGTTCTCGCGGAACCCTTCGATCCCCTACGCGATTCACCCCGCACGTTCCCATCGCGACTTCGGCTCGAAACTCTTCCGTTACTCCGGAATTACTCGGCGCTTCTCCGCCGTCCGTCACTATTGTCTTCGCCTTCTCCGGCGCCGGGGCTGTTATCGTCGCTTTTTTAACATATTCCTCCCAGATACGACGAAAATCAGCCAGGCTCTGAATCATCTCAGCCTTAACCTCGCCTACCTCCTTCATCGCTTCCCGCATCTCCTTAATTTCCCTCTCGACAGTGTCGAACCTCTCTTCAGTCTTCCTGGCCGCCATTTCCTTCCCAGAACCTTGCTCTGATACCAAAATGTTAGATTCTAGGGTTTCTGTCACCGATAAAGAAGAAGAGAAACAGAATTGAATCAAGAATCAGATATTCTTATTAAGCTGTAGGACCATTTATGTACAATTCAGCAGTTCTTCGAGGGACTGCAATCCTCCCCTAGCTGGCAAATTGGCCTAGCTAATCCTTTACTCACTAATTCCGTAATCCCCAATATTCCCTTCTTGCCCTATTTATTTCCCTCCACTTCCCACTAATTCCGTTGTAACTAACCCCCCCTTATATCCAACTGCCTAATTGGTTACATTCTATTAACCTTCTTACACTTACATCCGTTTCCCTCTCCTAACGACACCTGTCTTACCCAAGGCTTACAGCCGTTTCCCTCTCCTAACAAACACCTGTCTTACCAAGGGCCTGGTCCTATCAGAACTTTACAGCTTTTGGCAGTATATCAGTTAAGGGAGAATCGTGGATAGTGGACTCTGGGGCCACAGACCATATGACAGGTTGTGGGAATTTGTTTACTTCCTATACTCCTAGTCCTGGAACTCACAAAGTGAAGATAGCAGATGGCTCCTTTACAACAGTGGCTGGCATTGGGACCATTGAATTGAGTCCAAAGATCACTCTAAAATCTGTTATCCATGTGCCAAAATTATCATGCAATTTATTATCTGCCAGCAAAGTTACTAAAGATTTAAATTGTATGGTAAAAATCTCACAATCAGCTTGTATTTTTCAGGACCAGACTTTGGGGAGGACGATTGACAGTGCTAGAGAATTTGAAGGGTTATATTACTTTGAGAAGGATTCCAACGTGAATAGTCGGGTTCAAACTGCAGTGTGCAACACCACCGTGTCTAGGAAAGAGAAAATAATGGTGTTACACCGTAGGTTAGGTCATCCTAGTTTCGCTTATTTAAAGCATTTGTTTCCATCACTGTTTCAAACTCAGGATTCTTTTCAATATGAAGCTTGCCAATTAGGAAAACATAAAAGAGTTCGTTATCCTTCATTATCTTATCGTGGATCTTATCATTTTATGCTTATTCATAGTGACATATGAGGCCCTTCTAGAATTCGTAGCTTAACCAACAAAAGATGGTTCATAACTTTTATAGATGATCATACAAGAGTTTGTTGGGTGTATCTTTTAAAGGACAAATCTGAAACTACACAAATTTTTCAAAACTTTCATTCCATGATTAAAAATCAATACAATAAGAGTATACAGATATTCTGTACCGATAATGGTACAGAATATTTCAACTCTTGCTTGTCCAACTTTACAACAAAAAATGGAATGATTCGCCAAAGTTCTTGTGTAAATACACCCCAGCAAAACGGAATTTCAGAAAGAAAAAATCGCCATCTTTTAGAGGTAGCACGGGCTCTATTATTCACTTCAAATGTTCCAAAAAGATTTTGGGGGGAAGCCATTTTAACTGCATGCTACTTGATAAATCGTCTGCCAACACGAGTTTTAAATTTTCAAACACCAATTAAAAAACTACTTGAGTCATATCCTGAGTCGTTTTTTTTCTTCCTTGGATTTTAAAATTTTTGGCTGCACAGCCTTTGTCCATAATCATGACCAGAATCAAAGCAAATTAGACCCTAGATCTCTCAAGTGTGTTTTTGTAGGTTACTCCACCACTCAAAAAGGATTTTGGTGCTATTCCCCTGAAAAAAGGAAATTTTTTATGTCTATGGATGTTACTTTTTTTGAGGATCGGCCATTTTTTCCAAAAAAATATCTTCAGGGGGAGAGTATAAGTGAAGAATATTTTTTGGAGCAGAATTCGGTTGGTGAGGAGAGTTATTTAAATTCGGGTGAAAACAGAACAGATTTGTGGGAATATCTTTGGGATCCTTTGCCTGATTTTTCTCCTATTTCCTTGAGTGAAAATTCAAATTCTAGTCCAAATTCTCAGGAAAATCCGAGTCTCACTCTGGAATCCCAGGAAAATCCACAATCTAGTCAAATGAAAAATTTAAATCCCACTCAATCCGTGAATGATTTGAATAAACAGACCAGCCCTCAAAACTCTCGACCTACAAGTCTCCCTCATTCAAATTTTGAGTCAAACGTGGCACCAAATCCAAATGTGAATCCAAATCCCACAAACTTATCCGAATTAGGGGGAGTATTGCACACACAGCCAGAACTGCTGACTTATTCTCGGAAGAAAATTTTAAAAAGCAACAATAATCCTGAAAATCCTCCCTGCCAACCATCCAATCCAGAGTCGGGTTCAAATACAAAAAGTGGTGATCTAGATGTGCCAATTGCTGTAAGAAAAGGGGTCAGGACATGTACACAACATCCCATATCAGAATTTATGGGATATGGAAATTTGTCTAAGTTAGTTCAAGCTCTAATAACGAACCTTGCAGATGAAGAAATCCCTAAGAATGTGGAGGATGCCCTGAAATGCCCGAATTGGAGGAAGGCTATTATGGAGGAGATGAATGCCCTAGAAAAAAGTCATACGTGGAAATTAGTACAGAGACCTCTGGATAAGAAACCAGTGGGCTGTAAATGGGTGTTTACCATTAAATACAAGTCAGATGGTTCGATTGAGCGCTATAAGGCGAGGCTGGTCGCAAAAGGGTATACGCAGATATATGGGATAGATTATCAGGAGAAATTTGCTCCTGTGGCCAAGATTAACTCTATTAGAGTCTTGCTATCACTTGCAGCAAATTTAGATTGGCCACAACAGCAGTTGGATGTCAAGAACGCCTTTCTGAATGGCGACTTAGAAGAAGAGGTCTACATGGAGTTGCCACCAGGCTTTGATTGTAATGAAGGCAGCGCAAAGGTATGCAGATTACAAAAATCACTATATGGGTTGAAACAATCTCCTAGGGCCTGGTTCAACAGATTCACAAAGACTCTAAAGCAACAAGACTACAAACAAGCTCACTCAGATCACACTATTTTCTATCGACACATGAACGGTAAGATTGTTGTCCTTATAGTTTATGTGGACGATATAATCTTAACAGGTGATGATAAAGAGGAGATGGAGCGGATAAAACAAAAGTTGGCAACTGAGTTCGAGATGAAGGACTTGGGCAACCTCAGGTATTTTTTGGGCATGGAGATTGCAAGAAGCAAACAAGGTATATTTGTTTCACAAAGAAAATATGTGCTGGACCTATTCAAGAAATTGGGATGCTAGGCTGCAAACCAGTGGACACTCCGTTCGATTCAAACCTAAAATTAGGGGAGAATTTGAATGGTGAGCCTGTGGATAAAGGAAGATACCAGCGGCTTGTTGGGAGACTTATTTACTTGTCTCACACTAGGCCAGACATAGCGTTTGCAGTAAGCTTTGTAAGCCAGTATATGCACTCGCCCACAAAGGAGCACATGGAGGCTGTGTATAGAGTTCTGAAGTACCTAAAAGGCAGCCCTGGTCGAGGTCTGTTTTTCAAAAAAACCAGTGAGAGAAGTGTTGAAGTTTTCACAGATGCTGACTGGGCAAGTTCGATTGATGATAGGAGATCGATCTCAGGGTATTGTACATTTGTTTGGGGAAATTTAGTAACCTGGAAGAGCCAGTGGTGGCTAGAAGTAGTGCTGAGGCAGAACTAAGGTCTGTTGCACACGGTGTATGTGAAGTTCTTTGGCTAAAACGGTTGTTAGAAGAGCTGAAGGTTGCTGTGAAATTACCTCTGAAAGTTTACAGTGATAACAAAGCAGCAATTAGCATGTCTCATAATCCAGTTCATCATGACCGAACAAAGCATGTGGAAGTGGACATGCATTTCATTAAAGAAAAGATTGAAGAGGGAGTTCTGTGTGTTTCTTATGTTTCAACTACAGAACAAACATCAGATATCCTTACTAAGGGGCTTGTCAGACCTGTGTTCGAAAAATTGGTGTGCAAGCTGGGCATGTTTAACCTATACAACCCAGCTTGAGGGGGAGTGTAGAAAAGTTAGAAATACTGAGGTGTACATACTATATTTACGGTTAGTTAGGATATTATGTAATCTAGAGCTATAGTTAGCTTATTTCTTGATTTTCTGGTTAGTTAGACTTTGTTCCTAAGTTAGTGGTATGCCAGGGGCTATAAATGTATTGTAAACCTTGTACACTTTACACGGATGTTTTATGAGAAAGGATTAATTCAGCCCAGCAGTGTTAGTGTGTTTCTCTCCTCTTATTTACCTTTACATCACATGTAGCACAAATTCTTCCTTTTTTGTATTTCTTTTCGCAGGAAAAAATTTAGAATAAGTGGCACCCAATGAAGCAAAAGAGAGGCTAATAACGGATGGGAAATGCTAAAGACCCTTTTCCCTTGAAAATATGAACTAAATCAAACAGAAATATCAATAAATGAGATTCCTATAAGCAAAATGAGATTCCTATAAGCAAACAAGGAGGTTTTAGTGCAAATGGCAAGCTTACTCTTCTTGAGGCAGATGAAAGAAAATCTTCAAGGAAACAAGGGTTGATAAAGAAGCCCTGTGCTTTCTGGAAAGCCCAACATCAGATTAAGATTCTGCAAAGCTTGGCCTGAAGCTCCCTTAACAAGATTGTCAATCTGCACCAACAATTAAGAAATTAGTCACTATGATGCCATAGACAAGCATATGATACAAAAACAAAGCCAAGTATTGGGAACTTGAACATACAACAGACACAATTATTGCTCGACCGGGAATTCGATCAGGAAAGACATTTATGACACAGTAATTAGATCCCCGAACATTTTGAGTGTGAGGAACGACTCCCTTCTCCAGTAAAATAACAAATTCTTCATCCTGCAGCAAAATTAGAACATAAATTTTTTTTAGTAAGAAAAAAAAATTAAAAGAAAGAAAAAGCAACAAGGTATAGTTAGAAAAAGCAATAAGGTATAGTTCTTTGAGTAATACAGGCACGTGAATTCATTTGTATGCTAAATGCCACTTACCGGGCTTCTTCACGTTCCAATCATTTGCAAGGTATTTTCTAGGTCTAACAAGATAAAATATTGACAGGGGTAGAGGATAGAACATTATGAGTGCGAGGGTTGTTAAAACCTAATTCCTATATCAACCTTATTTGGATAAGAGAGTGCTAGTCTCTGAAGTTCAAAGCAACAATTTCCATTTCAACTTATTAACGAATTCTGAAGTATTCAACTAGGAGAACGAGTTGAAATCGGTATATGGTATACCTCATAAGCTCTCTTCAATTGATGGTGTAAGTCCTCAGTAGTTACTCCTGAAGCCATTTCCACATATATGGTTGATTGCATACCACGGCTCTGAGAGACAATAACAGGAAGACAGTTATATGTCAGCAACCATTAAATTGGAGAACATAAAATTACTAAACACATTTGGAGTGCAACATTTACCATTGGCATTAGATGTGGGGTAAAGCTAACGGTTATCTTCGAATTTGCTGCATCTGTTAACCCCTGTTCAATTTCTGGAACTGAAATTTAAAGATAGACCCAAGGTTATTGGCTTATCACTTATGCATTGAGTAAAGAAACCAGCAATTCTTTGCTATAATTCATTGTAAAAATCACATGAGAACATTTCAGCAAGGAAGCAACTTGTACAGTAGTACATCATTTTCATTTAGAGATATTTAGTTCTACACCCTTAAAAAGACTTACCATGACGATGTCGAGTAATACCATAAGAATAGATGCCTTCAGCTATTTCAGTGTACAAATTTGCCTCCTTGGCACCACGGCCTGCACAATGAACCAATTTTCAAGGACATGTAGACTGAACTAATATTGGAACGCATAACCAGGATTTTGCACCTAGAAATTAGGAAAGAGTATATGCTAACCTGCCCCGCTAACACCTGACTTTGAGTCGATGATAATGTTTCTAAATTCTATGAGATTTGCCTGCACATGAAAACACCATCACGAAAAAGCTTAGAACAAAGAACCAAACAAATCCCATTCTGTTACATTCTTACATCTGAATAGTTGGTCAGCCAATCTGAAGCACAACTCTTATAAAAAATTGAAACTTGGAATGAGCTATAAAAATTACAAGAAACACCTTTATCAATGGAACAAGGGGAAGTTGAATTGATGTTGGATAGCACCCAGGATTAGCAACTAGGCGTGCATTCTTTATTTCCTCTCGGAAAACCTCTGTCAAACCATATACAACTTCCCTCTGGATCCCGAAAATAAGCACTTGTGTTAGCAAGAAAAGAGCAATTAGTTAAAACATAAGCTTTTCCTGTTTGATGTGATTGATGCCACGATATAAATCTTACAGCATAATGGAAAAAGATAAACACATGGAAACAAAATGACTCTCACATGGACTTCATATTACTACTCTGAAGATTTTGAGGAAGAATAAACTTCTCTGTTTTTCTCATTAAATGAATTGGTAACAATACACAGTTATATACACGATTTACACACCTAAAGGAGATAACAAAATCCCTAAAGATAAGGAATAAGAAACTGATCCTCCTAAACTTATGGGATCCGAATAGAGGAAATCCGGATTCTCTAATCCACGGATTTCCTCCTATAACTACTCCTAAGTATGCGAGCTTTAGAGGGAAATTCCACACTCCCCCTCAAGTTGGGTTGTACATATTGTACATGCCTAACTTGTTGCAAAGTTCCTCAAAGTTCGGTCCTAGGAGTGCCTTTGTCAGGATGTCTGCAAGTTGCTCCCGGGTAGACGTGTAGACCAATTGCACTTCTGAGTTTTCAATCTTCTCCGCTATGAAATGCCGATTTATCTCCACATGTTTCGTTCTGTCGTGATGAACTGGATCCTTTGCGATACTAATAGTAGCCTGATTATCGCATTTAAGTGTCACTGACTTCTCAAACTCCAACCCCAACTCGGTCATAACTCTCCTAATCCATACTCCTTCACAGATCGTTACTGCTAAGGCTCTTAGTTCAGCCTCTGCACTGCTTCTGGAAACCACAGTCTGTTTCTTACTTCTCCATGTCACAAGATTTCCCCAGACTAGAGAACAATACCCTGTGCTTGACCTCCTGTCTATCTGGCTTCCTGCCCAGTCTGCATCAGAGTAGAGAACTATATCTCTGCAACTATTTTTCTTAAACAATAATCCTTTTCCAGGGGTCATCTTTAGATACCTAAGAAATCTGTTCACAGCTTCCATGTGTTCCTCCATTGGATGGTTCATGAACTGACTCACCATACTCACTGCAAAGCCAATGTCAGGCCTAGTATGGGAGAGTTAAATAAGCTTCCCTACTAGACGTTGATATCTTCCTTTGTCTACTGGAGGTCCTTCCTCTTCACGCCCTAACTTCTTTGTAGAGTCCATAGGGGTGCTTGCTGGTTTACATCCTAGCATACCCGTTTCTTTGAGTAAGTCCAAGGTGTATTTGTGCTGGGAGACGACTATTCCTCTTTTTGATCGAGCCACTTCCATGCCTAGGAAGTACCGTAGAGGACCAAGATCTTTCACTTCAAATTCTTTAGCCAAGGATCGTTTAATCTTTAGTAACTCTTCCTCATAATCTCCGGTTAGGATGATGTCATCGACGTACACAATGAGAATGGCTAATTTATTCTTGGGAGAGCGCTTTACAAAGAGTGTGTGATCAGTTTGACACTGAATAAAGCCATGTTCCTTTACCGACCTTGAGAATCTACCAAACCATGCCCGTGGAGATTGTTTGAGTCCATACAGAGACTTTAATAACCTGCACACCTTATTGTTGATGTTGCTTACTTGTAGACCCAAAGGGATTTCCATGTAGACTTCCTCCTCGAGATCTCCGTTAAGGAAGGCGTTCTTTATATCAAGTTGATGAAGTTGCCAGTCTAAATTCGCTGCTAATGACAGGAGTATTCGAATGGTGTTAAGCTTTGCAACAGGAGCAAAGGTCTCCTGGTAATCAACACCATAGGATTGAGTAAAGCCTCTTGCTACTAACCAAGCCTTGAGCTGCTTCCATCTGCTTTGTGCTTCACAGTAAAGACCCATTTGCAACTCACCTTTCTCTTTCCCTGAGGGAGTTCAGTGACGGTCCATGTACCATTCTTTTCCAAGGCCATAATCTCCTCTTGGACAGCCTGCTTCCAACCTGGGTGACTCAGGGCCTCTTGAATGCTTGCTGGAATTTGAACATTGTCCAGCCCTGAAGTAAAGGCTCTATAGGATGGAGAGAGACCTACATATGATAAAAAATTCTTGATTGGATGTTGAGTGCAGGTTCGATTACCTTTCCTTAGGGCAATAGGTAGTTCCAAATCATCTATAGTCTGAGTCTCATGTAACCCTTTTTGTTCCGGCTCATTTCCACCTCCTGTGCTAGTTTATGCAGTCATTGGATCCGGTTCAGATTCTTGGACAGGTATGAGATGTGCCAAGTTCTCAATCTCCCCCTGAGGTTGCTTTTTCTTCTGGTGTATACCTGAAGTTCTTTAGTTATTGGGCGGGGCAGACTCAAGGAGGAACTGGAAGAATTAGCTGACTGTTGGTCTGGACTGAATGGAGATGTTTCTGGATGATTTGATGATACATGGACTGGACTGGACATAGGGTTAGACTCTGCATTTTGTGGCTGTATATTTGGGCTGATTTCAGGCTGTTCTAGCAAGGAATCCCAATTCCAAAGCTGAAGTTCTTTCTGTTTATTCTCCCCCTGAATTTCAGTTTTGGAGAAATAAGGAGTTTTTTCAAAGAATGTCACATCCATTGTTTCATAGACTTTTCTTGTGTTGGGACAAAAACACTTATAACCTTTCTTGTTTGTGGAATAACCAATGAAGACACATTTGATGGATTTCGGATCAAGTTTACTCCTGTTTTGGGGGTATATGTGGACGAAGGCAGAACACCCGAAGATTTTGAAAGGAAGGTCACTTGAAAGAACATGAGCATGAGGAAATATATCTATGAGGGCTTGACATGGTGTACCAAATTTTAGAACACGAGATGGCATCCTATTGATGAGATATGCAGAGGTAAGAATGGCTTCCCCCCAAAGATACTTTGGAACATCTGTAGAAAACATGAGGGAACGGGCTGCTTCCAACAAATGGCGGTTTTTTCTCTCAGCCACTCCATTTTGTTGGGGTGTATTGACACATGAACTCATTTGGACAATTCCCTGTTGGGACAAGTAGTTGCCTAGAACTGAATAGAAATATTCTCGAGCATTATCAGACTTAAGAATTCGGATTTTAGTACTGAATTGTGTTTGGACCATGGAGTTGAATGCTTGAAATATTCTATCAACTTCTGACTTTTCTTTCATAAGAAAAACCCAAGTGAGTCGTGTATGATCATCCACAAACGTCACAAACCACCGTACCCCATTAATATTTTTTATTCGAGCAAGTCCCCAAATATCACTGTGAATCAATGCGAATGGTTTTGATGGACAGTAGGGCACACTTGGATAAATAGAACAAGTGTGTTTTGCAAGTTGACAGATTTCACAGGCAAAAAATTTTGGATTTTTATTGATGAATAAATGAGGGAATAACTTTTCAAGATACATAAAGTTTGGATGACCTAGCCGATAGTGCCATAACATGACTTCACTATCTTTATTGACACTAGAATTAAAGACAGACTTTGGACTGAAAATATTAATTGACTAACTCTTAGGAAGGTTTCTGCCCCCAACTAAGGCTTCTTCAAGTTGAGGTGTTTTGAAGAGATAAAGTCCCGAGCACATCTCAGCACTGCCAATCCTCTTCCTCGAACCCAATTCCTGAAAAACACACATTCGGGAGAAATTTAGTAACACAATGATGATCACGAGTGAACTTACTGATGGACATTAAGTTGCAATCAAGTTTAGGGACATGGAGTACAGATTTGAGAGTGATTTCGTGTGAAAGTCGAACGGATCCAATCCCTGCCACTTTAGATAGAGAACCATCGGCAATGCGTATTGTGAGATTGGTATTACTTGGTTGATAATCATGGAGGAGAGACCTATCGCTCGTCATATGGTCTGACGCCCCTGAGTCGATAATCCAACATCTTGAATTGTTAGCACACACAGAGAGGGCAAATTGTAAATTACCTGCTTGTGCATGCATGCTTGCGGATGGGGCAGGAGCAGTGTGTTGTGAGAGAGTACTGCTTAGAAGCTTTTGGAGCACTTCAAGTTGTTCATTGGTGAAGGGGCTTGTCTCGGCAGTGACTGGTCTATCCTCGGCTGCAGTTGCTGAATTGGCACGGCTGTCTCTGTCCGAAACTGATCTTGATGGTTTCCAATCAACAAGTTTGCCGTGTATCTTCCAACACGTGTCCTTAGTGTGACCAGTTTTAGCACAATGATCGCACCACAATCTTCCCTTCCTCTGTTGGCGAGAATCATGCTGATTTGAAGGACGTGATCCACGAGCAGCTAGGGCAGATCCTTCCATCGCAGGAGATGAATATTGACTGCCCATCATGACCTTTTTCCTGCTTTCCTCACGGCGAATTTCAGAAAAGGTTTCTCGAAGGCTAGGAAGAGGTTTAGTTCCCATTACTCTGCCTCTAACTTCATCTAGGTTTTTGTTTAAACCCAGTAGAAACTTAAATGTCCTCTTCTGCTCCACTATTTTCCGATACAGGGCATTGTCTTCTGGGCACTTCCAACCGTGGCTTTCGAACATGTCTAGTTGCTGGCAGTGACGGGTAAGGGTATTGAAGTATTGTGTCACAGTGAGGTCTCCCTGCCGTAGATCGTGAAGGATGGACTCAACTGCGAATAACTCTGATGTGTTTTCAGAGCTGGAGTAAGTCTCTCTTACGGCTTCCCAAATTTCTTGTGCAGTCGCATAGAGAAGAAAATTCTCACCAATATCAACATTCATTGAATTGATGAGCCAGGACATAATCATATGATTTTCAGCCTTCCATTTTTTGTAGTTTGGATCATTCCGATTCGGAATGGGAATTTCCCCTGTCAGATAATCCTCTTTGCCTCTGCCACAGATGAACATCCGGACTTATTGAGACCATTGGAGGAAGTTTTGCCCATTAAGTTTATGGCTAAAGATCAGGGGGGAAAGATTTTCAGAATTTCCGGAATGTCCAGAATTGGAAAGACCGGATGTCTGATTTGAATGAGAAGAGACTTCAGAGGTAGAGCTGGTTGTTTCGGGAGCCATGGTTGTGCCTGGCTATGAGGGATAGTTGGGAATGGCGGCTAGGGTTTTTTTTTTCAGAGAAAAGAAAAAAAACGGGGCTCTGATACCATGAAGATTTTGAGGAAGAATAAACTTCTCTGTTTTTCTCATTAAATGAATTGGTAACAATACACACTTATATACACGATTTACAAACCTAAAGGAGATAACCGAATAGAGGAAATCCGAATAGAGGAAATCCGGATTCTCTAATCCACGGATTTCCTCTTATAACTACTCCTAAGTATGCGAACTTTAGAGGGAAATTCCACATACTCAAGTATTCAGGATAAGGAGTCCCATTTTCACTTCAGAAAACAAACTTTTTATTAGGCACTCTGATGGATTCTTCAACAAACCTATCCACATCAGCCACTAATCACTGACGTTTCTTCCTCCTACTGTAAACCAACAGCTCCTAGTTCTTATCACACTCCTACAAATTTCGGTGTCAAAAAATGCTCACGTACACAACAAATAGCATATAGCTATACTCTCAACAGGAAATTCAGATAAACAGGTAAGTGATCTTAAGTTCTTTGAGAAACCTTAACCTATAAGAAAAAACAACAAAAAACGTTTAGTTTATGCATTCCTTAGTGTTTAAAGCGCCTTCAAATCATGTTGAGCTTTGAACTCAACATTCAGGTTTCAAATACTTTGAATTGGCCGAAGGATGGGAAATAAAGGAGGGGAAAGGGAAAAAATCAGCCATGTTAGAGAGACAGCCAAGCAGAAGAAAATAATTACCTCACCTGCAAATCCGGTGCTCTATGTTCCTGACCATACCATTCTTTGTACTCAGATGTATCCCGTAGCCGGAAGTCCTGCAAAATTATCAAAAACAACTTTTGCATGAGTAAAATCTGAATTCTCAAATCTATTACACGATCCATAAAAAGAAATCATTAGTGAAGAAAAAAAAAGAAAAAAAAAAACACCAAAATGTAGCACGATGACTAAACATACAGCAGAAAGATCAACAATCTTTAAACTCTTTGGTAGGCCTTTTATAATCTCCTGCAAGTTCAAAATCCAAAAACTATTCAGTAAACTGTTTCTAGTTGTGAGTTTATGAAGACAACTAAACCAAGAGTTTAAATTGCTGATATAGCAAACTCATAGAAATCAAGGATATATGTAAGAACCTGTGTTGTTCCATGTGGCAGACAACAGAAAACAGCATCAACACTAGAAAAATCGGCATCCTTAATAGCAACCATGCTTGGTAGATCCTGCAAACATTGAAGACCAAAATCATCAAATTGTGACACTGACATAACAATATAAGATAATAAAGTTAGCTAATCAAGAAGTATCCCAAACTTTGATACACTTTAAATTAATGTTATCATGCCTAATCTATTTTTGGATCAGAGAATCATTTTTAATCTCTAAAGTCTTACTTGTGTGATTAGGTGAGGAAACACTGATCCAATCGATTGGCCGGCTTTTCTATCAGCAGTCATCAAGGTAGTGCCAAAATGAGGATGATTTGCTAGGAGCCGAACAATCTGCCAGAGAGTGATCATATTATTATATCATTAGACTATAAGGAGATACAGAGAAATTCAGAGATAATTACAATATCTTCCAAGTCCTTTTTTGTCCCCAAAGAGAAACCATGCATGCCTCCCCATAGTATTCTAGGATTAGAACTTCTACTGTCACTTTTCTTTGCTCAAATCATTTTTCTAATTATTTCTTTTACCAAAATTATTATTATTTTTTTAACGTAAACTCTTGTTTACTCTTTTTTTTTCAAGGTACAAGGCATCCAAAGCACAATTTCAATCACAGCTTTAGTTCAAGAAGTCGTCTTTCCACTAACATAAAACAAATTGTTATCAAACTGAAATAATGTCTATTAGACCTTAAGCAGTAGCATTTCAGTCTAAATTTTAGAAAAATAATGTTCTAGTTTTTAAGGGTCTTTAACAACAGAGAAGAGAATATCTTTGAGAAGTGTTTATCCCTATAAAATTATAAGCCCTCATTTGTTTCGCTTGTCGAGTTGAGAAGTAGAGCTTAAAAGTGAATTTACGGAAGAGAAAATATTCTAACAAAAAAAAGTGGAATATGAACTTTTGTGAAAGAAAACAATATAACAAAAAGTTTGATATGTGATTCGAATGGTGAAACAAACTAGGCCTTAGAATACATTCATTCATTAATTGTAGTAACACGGACAAAAAAAAAAATACAATGTTCAAGGAAGGACCTGCTAAGGAAAAAAGTTCGGGAGCAAAGGTAGTTTTGGGACCAACAATCCTAATAACCCTGATGGAAAAGTTCCATGCATCCCTGATAACTCGATGAAATAGAGTTAGTTAGCATACTTTTAGGCTTAGTAGTTGTTTATTTTCTCAAGGTACAATGCCTTAGTGTTAGTATTTTGTACAACATTCGTTAGAAGGTTAATATTTGTGGAGCAATCTCGTTACAACATGGATTTAGTCCTCATGTTCAATGCAGGTGTGTTGACTTTGGGTAATTAGTGCAGGAAAGCAACAGGGCAGTGTTGGTAAAAGCAATTTGAAAGAAAAGCACGGTAAAGGAAGTGAAGGCAGGAATGAACCCGTTGCTGCAGCAAAGCTATAGCAATGCAGATGCAACCAAAAGGTGCAAGCTGGTGCAGTTTGTTTTCATGTACAGCTGGCAGTGGTCCAAATTGCCGACTCTGACATGAGGGGACAGCTGTAAGAGCACTAAAGCGGGGACCATCAGTTTTGGCTCTGAGGCGGACACATGTAATTAGGGTACCTCATCCTGCCCTAATATAAAAGGAAAAAGAGGAGTACTGAAAAGGGCAGAGAAAAAGGAGGAGGCGCAGAATTACACAAAAGAAGCTAAAGAAAGAAAGAAAAAGAACGAGGGAAAGCACAGCTGGTTTATGGGGCAAAAGGGAAGCAAGGACAAAGGCCTACTGAGCATCCAGACTTTAGCTTAATCATTTCCTTCTATCTGTCTATATTTACTCTCTGTGACAAATGGATTTGATTATTGTTATTATTTCTAATTACCTTACACCGAACATGAGCTAAACTTCTTTAGCTAGGATTATTCATGGAACCAAAGTTGCAATGAAGATTAATTTGTTATTCTAATTGCTTGTGTAATTTTCATTCGATTTATTCAAGTGTGTTTATTGTTCAACTTTTGTTAAGTGACAGGCCATCATTTAATGGAAAACATAAACTGAAATTAATTCTGGAAAGGTTGGTTTTAGTTGGAACTATCTTGGATAATATAAGGGAATAGTATAGGAATATATTACGGCCTTGTACAACCCATTAAAATTGGTGCTTACTCTAGGTTTTGAGAACTGAAATGCATAGGAATATGTTAGTTTTGGTTTGAGGAACTACAGGCATAGATCTATCGGAAGAGGATTCGGAAGAGGATTATGCCGAATTTTAGGTTGATTGAATGAACTTTGCTACAGCAATCCTATAGCAAAACGTGGTCAGAGTTGCAACCGAGGGAAAATCAGTAATCCTAGCCTTTACCCATCATTGATTCACAACTTGTAGCTTAGAACTTGTTAAGTCTTACGTCTTGTTTACATTTAAATCATTCCCAGTCATTTTACTAATTCACGTTACTTAATCCTTACCGAATTTGTATTTGATTCACTTTTCAATTCATTTTAGTTCAACTGGTTTTTATAATCAATTTTGGCCTCGTTCATTTCGCGGATTCGAGTTTTCAATTCGAGTTGAGATGTGATATTTTCTAAGAGCTTTTTACTGTAGCATAAAAGGCAAAATGCTTTCCCACTTCGGAATAGACCAAGGGAATCACACTTCGGAATGGCAGGGAAATCGAGCAACCAACTCGACAGTCTGAAGCAACATCAGAGCACTCTTCGATCCAAAACCAGAAAGTCCAGCAACCAGAAGCTGAATCAGAACAGGATGCTGTCGACCAAAATGCTACAGCAAAGCTGAAGCAAAACGGACCAGAGAGACCTCCACCCCCATTCCCGCAAAGAATTCAGAATCAAAAGCAAGATAAGCAGTTCAGGAGATTCCTTGACATGCTGAAGCAACTCCACATCAACATTCCATTTGTGGAGCCATTCGAGCAAATGCCGAGTTACGTTAAATTATGAAGGATATTCTCTCGAAGAAACGAAGGCCGGGTGAATTTGAGATGGTGGCATTAACCGAAGAATGCAGTGCGATCTTGAAGAATAGGCTGCCACCCAAGTTGAAAGATCCTGGTAGTTTCACCATACCGTGCTCCATCGGAAATCAATACGTTGGAAAGGCATTATGCGACTTGGGGGCAAGCATTAATCTGATGCCTATGTCTAACTTCAGAAAGCTGGGAATTGGTGAAGCAAGACCCACCACTGTTACGCTGCAATTAGCTGACAGGTCCTACGCTCATCCAGAGGGCAAAATTGAAGATATCCTAGTAAGGGTGGACAAATTCATATTTCCAGGAGATTTCATAGTGTTGGACTATGAAGCAGATAAGGAGGTGCCGATTATCTTGGGAAGACCCTTTTTAGCTACAGGCAAGACATTGATTAATGTGCAAAAGGGAGAATTGACCATGAGAGTCCACAATCAGCAGGTCACTTTCAACATGTTCAAGGCGATGCGTTTTGCTGACGAGGTGGAGGAATGTTCAGCAATTAATGTTCTGGATTCACTAGTGGCAGCAGAGTTTGAGAAGACATGCTCTAAAAAGTTGATATAAGAGGAAGACCTGACTGATTCTGAGGTTGATGAGGACAACAATGATAGACAAGTATCATGGATGGAGGGTAGGCATGCATCAGCCAGATCTAGGGGGCACTTCAAGTCACTGGAATTATCAGCGAGGCCCTTAAAGCAATATAAACCCTCGGTGGAAGAACCACCTGTTTTGGAACTAAGGCCTTTGCCGGTACATTTGAGGTACGCTTACTTGGGTGATTCAGACACTCTTCCCGTAATTATTGCTTCTGGACTAAATAGCATACAGGAAATGCAACTACTGGAGGTGCTTAAGAAGTTCAAACGTGTGATTGGGTGGACTATCGCAGATATAAAAGGAATCAGCCCATCAATCTACATGCACAAAATTTTGCTGCAGGATTGCTGCAGCAATTCGGTAGAGCAACAGAGAAGATTGAATCCAATCATGAAAGAGGTGGTGAAGAAAGAGGTGATTAAATGGCTTGATGCAAGGATAATTTACCCTATTTTAGATAGCTCTTGGGTCAGCCATGTTCAGTGCGTACCCAAGAAAGGTGGAGTCACGGTGGTTCCAAATGACAACAATGAGTTGATACCAACAAGAACAGTAACTGGTTGGAGGGTATGTATGAACTACAGGAAGCTGAACAAGGCGATCAGAAAGGACCATTTTCCTTTGCCATTCATCGACCAAATGCTTGATAGGTTGGCTGGGAAGGAATACTACTGTTTCTTATATGGATACTCAGGCTATAACCAGATTGTTATAGCACCAGAGGATCAGGAAAAGACCACTTTCACCTGTCCGTATGGGACGTTTGCTTTTAGAAGGATGCCTTTCGGACTTTGTAATGCTCCAGCGACCTTTTAGAGATGCATGATGTCTATCTTCACTGATATGGTGGAGAAATCGCTGGAGGTTTTTATGGACAATTTCTCGGTGTTCGGAGACTCCTTTAGGGATTGCCTAACAAATTTGGAAAGAGTCTTAATGAGGTGTGAGGAAATCAATTTGGTTCTCAATTGAGAAAAATGCCACTTCATGGTACAAGAGGGCATTGTATTGGGTCATAAGGTTTCTAACAAAGGCATCGAGGTGTACAAAGCAAAGATTGAAGTCATAGACAAACTACCACCACCAACATCAGTGAAGGGAATTAAGAGTTTTCTGGGCCACGCAGGTTTTTATCGGCGGTTCATAAAAGACTTTTCAAGGATATCTAAGCCATTATGCAATTTGTTGGAGCAAAGTTGACCGTTTGAGTTCAATGGCGAATGTCAGCAGGCGTTCTTGGAATTGAAGAGGCGGTTAGTGTCTGCTCCCATTGTCATCTCACCTTATTGGTCACTGCCATTTGAACTTATGTGCGATGCTAGCGACTACACAGTCGGAGCAGTGTTAGAACAACGACATGAGAAGGTGTTCCACTCAATTTATTATGCGAGCAAGACAATGACTGAGGCCCAGCTGAACTACACTACCACAGAGAAAGAGTTGTTAGCTGTAGTATTTGCCTTCGACAAGTTCAGAGCATATCTTGTGGGCACCAAGGTGATTGTATACACTGACCACTCCGCAATGAAGTATCTGATTGCCAAGAAGGACGCCAAACCAAGGCTGATCCGATGGATACTATTGTTACAAGAATTTGATCTGAAAATAAGGGACAGAAAGGGGTCTGAAAATCAGGTTGCAGACCATCTTTCCAGACTTGAGGATGGTAAGACTGAAACAAGGGAGCCCATTCGAGAGACCTTACCAGATGAGCGACTTCTTGCCGTGCAACAAGCTACAGCCCCCTAGTATGCAAACTTTGTGAATT